CGATTTTTCAAAAAATCTCTAACCGAACCGATTTCGGTTTCGGTCGGTCGGTTCGGTTCGGTCAAAAACCGAACCGATCCCACCTCTGCCACCCACACACCCACACCCTATATAAATGCTCTTGCACCTCGATTGGTTTGTGTCCATTCTATATTCGATTCCATGTTAGTATAACAAGCAGATGATATGATGAAGCTTAGAAAAAAAGCTCATGACATTCATAGCAACAGCACATTAAATATAAATAATGAAAGCCAGTCTTTAGCGAACTCTAAAAATTGCAATTTATTAGCAAGAAAAAAATAGCGGTAGTTTAGCGAACTCTACATATTACAGCTAATTCAATGCAAAAAGTGACACCCGATTTCTAGTGAACTGTATAAATTACAGATAGTTATTAACAATACTAAAGATAGCAATTGTATTTAAATTCTTCTCAATAAATTCTTAGTAATTTAAAAACAAAAGTTTAAAATGTTTGATTTAATTTTCAAAAAACTGTTTTTTTTTAAAATTAATCTAAGTAACTTTTTAAAAATTTAGAAAATGAAAAGTTGAAATTTAAAGATTGCTTTCGATTGAAATAGTTTTAATCTAAAAATATTAATTTTAATTTCGAAGCTTTTAAATTTCGATTGTATGTTCGCAAATGAGAGGACACGACTGATAACTTATAAGCAATAGATAAGATACACTGTGGCTTGATGAAGCAATCAACTTTTTATTAAAAAAAAAAACCCGTACAGTAAATTGAGCAATGTAAATATGTCATGTATCAATTTTTTTTAGCCCAAAGTCTCTCTTAATGTTTTACACGATACACTTTCACTTTCAAAATATTTTACTACTGATTATTGCAAATTGTTTTGAGCAAGTATTTTATAATAAGGTCCACGTCGTTTTATCAATTCTGTATGAGTACCACTTTCCACTATATGTCCTTTATCAAGGACACAAATCAAATCACACGAACGAACAGTTGAAAAACGATGTGCAATAATGAGTAATGTTCGACTAGGGTCTTCTGTTTGAGCTTGTTCAAGAGTTTGTTGTATGAGCTATAATTGAAAAACGGAGATGAAACTTGCGTTGATAAATAAGAAAAAAACGGCTCACGTGTTCATTATGTGAATCCATGGCACTTGTAGCTTCATCTAAGAGCAGTACTTTAGGTCGACGAATAAGAACTCGAGCTATAGCAATACGTTGCTTCTCACCACCTGACAGAAAAGTACCTTTCAACCCTACTTTTGTTCCATAGCCCTAAAAAACACATTATCATACAATAGCAATACGTAGCTAAATTATTTAATATGGTATTGTTTAACCTGAGGCAATTGGTGAATAAATTGATGAATATTAGCTCTACTCGCTGCATTGATAATATCTTCTATTAGAACATTTTCTAAGCCATACGCTATATTTTCAGCAATTGTTAAATCGAACATAACTGGTTCTTGACTGACAAGACCCAAACGAGACCGAACCCAATGAATGTTTAATTGTCGAATATCAACGTCATCAAGCAGCTAGATTAATACGAAAACTTTCATATAATTACTTAAACTTAAAGGTAAAGAAATACTAACAAGTTGACCATTAGTAACATCATAGAATCGTTCTAATAGTTGAATTATTGTTGATTTACCACATCCAGATGTACCTGTAGGAATCATATTATGTAATTAACATCAACAAGACATTTTATTTAAACATACCAACAAGAGCTACACGTTGACCTTGTCAGTGGATAAAAATTTTTAATAAATGATTTAATCGAAATATATGTTACTTACCTGGTTTGATATTAAATTGAAATTTGTTAAGAATAATAGATGTTGGCCGAGTTGGATAGATGAATTTAACTTGATCAAATTTGATGTCACCACGAAAGTCAACCTACACGAATCATATTGTATCCATGACTTGTACATGATTAAAACAAAATAAGTTGTCTTCCATATTAGGGGTGTCAGCGTTCCCCGTTCCTCGGCGTTCCGTTCCTAGGAACGGAACGCTGGGGAACGGGGCACGTTAACATCCCTAATTTTTATGAAATTGGCTTTCCTTCGGTGAATTAGTAAAATTTCTGTTAAAAGTGAAAGAAACGTATATTGCGTTCCCCTTCCTAGGAACGGAACGCTGAGTAACGCGGAAGCGTTCCCCGTTCCCAGGAACGGGGTAGCGTTCCCCGTTCCTAGGAACGGAACGCAAAGTTGACACCCCTATTCCATATTCTCTTACCAATTCTTGTCCTTCACCAGATGTATTGTCGATAGCAGGTTTTCGATCAAATAAATCAAAAAATTCTTCAGCAGCTGAGATTGATGCAGCAACGCGCCAAGATCTAGAATGAGAGTCTGTGAAAGGAAAAACTCAAACTTCGAGAACAAGAATGTCACTTCATTCCGACAATTCTTAGTGCTTGAATCGAAAAACCAGCAAGCGAACAGACCCTAATAAATTGAAAAGATAATGAAACTTTGTCTCTAGATTACCGAACTGTAGTTTTAATTACATTATAACACTGTTCGAGGTGGTCTCGTTCTTTTCAATTAGAACTAGAGCACGCCAATACATAAATGCCAAAGTATATATATCTAGTATCCAAAATATACTATACGCCGTTGAAGATAGCACCAAAAATTTCCAAGAGAATCTATAACATAATAAGATTCATTAATAATTTTTAAACCTACAAGACTCGATTGACTAACATAGGCACTTCATAAATTATTTCAGAATATTTTCTTAATATTTCCTTTTCAATGGACAACTGTTTTATTGTACGCATGTTGTGAATAACTTCAACAGCAAGCTGTAAAAGTAAATGACAGAATAAATATGATGGATGCATTAAGCTTATCAAGCAAGTGAGAACAAAATAACTTTTCCAACAAAATCGAAAATTATCAGCTACAGTATGATCTTACAGTGCTTGCTCGTCCAAGAATTAGAGTTGTTTGTTGATTCAGCGATATACGTAAGTACACATTTCCATAGGTGAGTGCGAGTAGAATAACCAGAGGTACAGAAGTGATCACTGTCAATTGCCAGCTTATGAAATATCCAAATAGAATTCCAAAAACCGACAATGTAAGAGCTTCGCAAATGTTTCCTAATCGTATACCCATCGCCTCTTGAACGGCTAGTGCATTAGAAGAAAGGCGAGCACAAATCGCACCTGAACTGTTTTCAGGTCGATCAAAATAAGCAACTTCTTGACGAAGAAGACATCCAAATGCTTTCAAACGAATACATTGCGTCAATTTCGATCCTGCTATGGCAAATGCTGTATACTATAGAAAACAGTGAATTAGTCATTGATCAATGTTAGATGTAGCATTTTAACCTGAAAGAAACGTAGAATCAACAAAACAACACCTAAAAGTAGAAAAAGAAAGCTAATAGTCAACATATGACGATGACGTTCAGAGTTTGAATAATATTTGAATGCCTACACGTAATGAACAAAATG